ATAAGACGGCTTAGTTATATGGCGAACCACGGCCTCTCGTCCGGTTACCATTCCATGTCAGGTATATGGAATTAGTTAGTCAGTTTTCGCAATCATGGACTTGATGGTGGAGGAAGGCGTGACCAACAAGCGGTTGCGTGAACCACCATACGGCGGCGAGGAGTCCAGCAATCCGCTCGCACAAAACCATACCAGGGTAATCAGAGGTGCGGTGGCAGGCGTACTCCCAACGCTCATCACTATGCGCCACACCGCCGAGCCGATATAGACTTACACTCCAGCTGACCACTGCTGGAGTCACAGATATGATAAGCTCAGCCAGGATAAATTCAACAGATTATCAGTATTTACTGAAGGCACCTAGCGGTACAGGTATTCAAAATCTAGAGCGCGTCGAGTTGATGAGAAAGGTTTGAAACAGATGGCCTCCGTTCATCCGAACTCTATGGAATCTTTGATTGTTAGTTTTACGTGCAACGATTGGGCCGCCTTCAAATATTGGTATCTGCATGTACGCGTATGGATGTTTTCCCAAGCAGTGACTTTCTTGTTTACTTCGTGACATTGGCCAATCTGCAAGATGCGAAAAGTGACGTAACAATGCTCCGAATACTAGGTAAAAAAACATTCCATGAATTAAAAGGACGTTCAGCAAGATGAAAGTATTATTATTAAAATAGCATTCCAACCTGTCCATCGTATATAAAACATAGGGAAACCGTTTTAAAAAATAGTGGGAATATCATTGACCAACGCTAATTTAGATAATGCTCCTTAGCAAGGGCATAGGCAGGGAGTGGTTTTGGGGATCAGAATCCCGTTATGAAAAATAAAAGCATTTTCCTGTATCAAACATAGCTGTATTAACATTTTCGCAGCTCGAACCGCTTTTTAGACCCTCAAGACTCGTGAAAACACACGTTTTCCGGCGTTCGGTCGGACTCGCTAGCTGTTTCGATCTAACTTGGCAAATGGAAATGTCAGAACTTTCTCTTTGGAAATTTCTGGCTACGCCGCTGCTCCTGAAAGTGTGTGAGCGTAACTTAATCAAACAGCTATATAAACACCATAGCGATTCACAAGAATAAAGCATTTCATCATTTTGTACGGAATACTTAAGAGTTTTGAGATTATTTTAGGGAAAAACAGTAAAATGCTATTCAACACGATAAGGGTAACATTAAATAACACACCAAACAATAAAATAAAAAACCTAAAAGATATATCCATACCTTTGCCCAGATGGATAGGATAACCGCCAAATCACTAATCTGTCCGTCCTACTTGTCAGCGTATACCTAACTCTAGTTGTAACCGGATATTTATGCTCAATTCGGTTGTGTCTGATATTCATATAGATTGGCTATCTAATGCAATACCTAGTAACAAGCTCTGTGGGTATGCGCATGTACACCAGCAATCTGTCTCGCAATCTAAGTGCGTCTCTGATTTGTGTTTTCATACATACCGTAAGTATTATATAGCTAATTTACGAGTCGTCAACGGGTTTTAAGAAGCACACCTAGCTCCACAGCAAAATAGATTACGAAGGCGTCGCCTGAAATATCATCCATCGTCTATCATCAATCTAAAGTGCTTTTATTACCTCTGAAACTTCATTACCACCAAAAGCGAAAATTGTTAGTGTAAACGGAAACCATTCCATTGAATTCTTGAAATGTTCTTCCTAGTGTTATGTCTTAAAAATATTATCTTGACGAATTCTGTCAAGTTTTAATCATACAGTAATTTTGAAAAATAATAAAAGTTGCATTCGTACACAAATAATTGTTTCTATCGGCAAAATTAACAATGAAATATTGTCTAATTGATGTCTTTGTTAGAATGGGGTTTGTGGATAACGATTTGAGACGTCTTCGTTATTTGGGATATATTAAACGCTTGCTAGTTTACGAATACTAGATGTTGGATATACTCTGCTGGTAAGGGGTGCTTTGTTTAACATTTTTTCACATTATGCATAGAAAATTGCTTAATTCAGCAATTTAATATATCCCCCTTTTTTGTGGTTATGAAATGCTGATTCAGTTTGCTTATATATTTTCCAAATATGGCAACGTCTTCATCTACCACCGTGACTTGAACCTAAAATCTATCCCAGGAAGGCAAAGTTCTCCTTCAATTTTGCCTTTACAGTTGGCGAGCATTTCATCAACGTTCATCGTCACCTAATGACAGCAAAGTCAGAAGACTTTTGAAAATGGTTTTTTCATCTATTAGTGCCCTAGTTGTAAGGTAATTGGTCTTTCCACTATTTTTTTCCTATGCCAAAAGTGATTGAGATAGTTTTGATCGAATATTTTATTTCCAAAGAATGGGAGAATTTTTTTTGGTTTTCTGCAAGCAATCTATGACATAAAGAGTCAAAAATCAGTGATTCTAAGTGTATATTGACGAATTTGTTCAGTGCACTCAAACAATCAAGGAGGTCCGTGAAGTAATTAAAACCTCGAAAAAAAACGATATTTAAAATTGGAAAAAACACAAACATGACAAAAGGCTGTTAATCTAATTATTCCTAAAATATTCGAATAACAATGACAACAAAGTTCTACTGAACCGCAGTTACACTGTTTAAGTTGCTAGACTCCAATTAAATAGCAATGTCGGATTCGTTACAGAGCGGTTAACACACCACCGATCGGCTACGGCTTTCCTCGTCTACTCTCACGCCCGACCCCGACAATCAATGTGTTTACTTGCGACGCTGCGTGTTACCGCCGCCGATACGCCCCTTTTGGTTCATTCGCTCGCTACAGTTCGGGCTTTATGGTTGGTTACTCGACCAAAACCATTTGTTAGGAAGTAGCGAATGAAAGCAGATAATGATATTTTGTTGACGCCGCGACTAGGTTTTTGTGTTTAGTTTATATTTTATATCACAGAACAAAAGCGTTTATTACTGTCGAATATAGCGAGTCCCATTTGCGTCAGTTGAAACTGATTTGTGATGACTGAGGCTGGAAACTTTTAGTAAGAAGTTTTGGTCTATTGAAAAAGGAAAACCCGAATGTAAGACAGATACAGAAATAGTTACATTGAATTCATAGAATAATCAAAAAGGTATGATAAACAGGACAATAGCCAAGATTGTGTATCGGGTCTTACAGACATAACATCTCACAAATTGTACTTATCGTATGTGAAAAGGAAACTGGTACTACGACGCTGTTAAAGGGCATTTGGGGTTGCGAATTTAGAGATGTAAGTTTCAGAATTTCGAAGCGATTCGAATCAACATCAATTCGAAGCATTTAAAAGAAAAAAGGGCTTGATTCTATTCAAAAAACAATTTAATAGTTACCACAAGGCAACTGCACGACACAGCGGCGCTACCGTTATATCGACCAAAAGCGTTTATTATCCTTCGTTTACAGCTTTCCAAAGTCGTAACACTCCCAGAGTCGTTATATTTCATATTCGTAGCAGCTTTCGAGGGACCAATGGTTTCGCTCAATTTTGTTCGACTATTTAAAATGTTACAAAGTTTCACAAATATTTTAAACGTTTCTTCAAATTATCTACATAATATTATTATAATAAAACATCATTGCTTCATACCTTATTAAAAACATGTATGTATGCGATGCTTGTCTCGCTATCATTGCTTCTTTTAAAATCATGGCGCATACGGTACTAACTAGCGATTATAATTTGGATGAATTTTGAAGGTCAATTTTAGAAGAAACAATTGTTATAAAACCGGTATTATTTGCAAACATAATTGTATGTGAGTAAATATGTAACTGAGTATACCGTTATGTAACAAAAAATAGATTTTAGCCGTAATATATTCGGTAGTTGATACATCCAAGCAGTGTGTTTTTCTGGTAGCTTTCTTAATTCTTCAAGCTCATTATTGCTATTCTATCAGAATTTATACTATATTTCTTCCACATTTGAGGAAAGTTAACGATAATATGATTATATACTAAATAGAATCAGATTCGGAAATATTCGATCCGGAACATTGTGATTCGATTCGAAATTTTTTTTTTTGAAACTTACATTCCTATTTGCGATATTGCCAATGATAATTTGATACAAGAGAATATGGGTTGTACAGATGCAACTAAGTAAAGTTAGTAGCTTGGTTAGGAGTGAGAGTATAAAGACAAATTGTCAGGCAAACTACCGTCGTGTAGGGATTGATAGGCTTTTTGTTGCCTACTTATATATATGGCACATAACAGAAGTTAGAATAATAGCAAAAAAGTATAAAGTTCAATTGGCAGCGCAGTACTTCCGTTCATAGAGGCTGCTCATAAAAAAAATGATTCTGGCATCTCATCTCGTCCCTCATAGGAAGATGTTTAGCCTTCGTACCCTACATTAATTATTAATGAAGTGTAATTTCAACAAATATATTCAGATTTTCTTTGTTAATTTTTGTATATCAATTTTGTACCTAATTTGTTGGTTTTTGAGCCGGGTCGTCAATAAATTTCAAAAAGTGGCCCGCGACATATTTTGAGTTGGAGACCCCTGCTTTACGTACACTACCGATAAAAGCCTCGTCTTTTAGCGTTGGCAAATACTTGGTGGTTTAAACTCCCTGCTACTCCATCGGTCTCTTTGCACTTGACTGATCTTTTGGTTGAGTCCTCTTGGATCTCATTCCCAATTATTTTTTTACCTTTTACCTACATTTTTAAGTATGTTTTCGCCCTAGGCAAGTAAAAAAATATAATGTCATTATGTGTCATGTGTAACTAACGAGTTGTTACATATAGTTTCGTATACAGTAAGTTATTTATAATTTGTATGAGCGCGCTATTCTGTAAACCTGAGCTTCTTGAGTCGAAAAATTGCTAAGATAGTAGAGGAAATATAAAAAAACAATTGGTATATCTCAATGAGCCCTCCATTTTAAGTTAAATATCTTGTCTGTTGATGGGCTAGTATTCTTAAATATATCGGCAGATCCATGTTTTGAACTTTTTTAACAGAAAACTCTTAGATACAATAGCAGTAACAGTATGAGTGAACCGTCAACTTCTGAACAAATAGAAGAAGAATGCAAGGAATCTACTCGCGCGGACCCAAGGAAGGGAAAAATCCCCACCGACTTCACAATAAATGTTGAAAACCAATCATTCAATGTTCATCGCGATGTAATCATCGCAAAGTCAGAATATTTCAAAGCGATGTTGGCTTATGATACCAAAGAAAATCAGCACGGATTTGTTTATATGAAAGACGTAAACCCAAATGTTGTGCGTGAATGTATCGAGTTCATGTACACTGGAAATGTGGATGAGATTTCAGTTGACATCGAGAATGTTGGAGAGGTCTTGCAGGCATCCGAAATTATACAGCTTGAGTCAGTTAGAGAGTTGTGTTTAAAAGTAATGATGGAACATTTGAAGCCTGAAAACTGTCTTACTATTTGCAGTTTGGCCTCAAAATTTGGCAGTGCCAATTTGGAAGAAAAGGCACATCAAATAATTAAAGATACTTTTGAAGTGGAAGATGTTACAGCCTTCATAAAAATCTCAAAAGATGACTTTGTTGAATGGATTACAAACAGTCACAGATCTAATGAATTAATTTGGGAAGCGATAGGTCATTGGCTGAACCACGACATTGAAAACCGCAACAACGACATACTCGAATTGATTGAATTAATGAATTGGGATCAGGCAAACTCCGGAACATTGTTAAAAAGTATTTGGAAAAATCTCATATTTCGTTCTTCGAAAGCATCGAAAAAGTTTGTCTTTCGCAAACTCTTTTACGATATTGAGTCTTTCAAAACCATGCTCAACACCGGAAATTATTACATGCTAAAAAATATCGCTGCTGAGTATTCTCACACACCGAAACAAGTTGAAGACTTCATTTCATCGTTTGGGAAACTCTATTTCGACAGATTAGCAGTGAAGAGAGATTTTAACACTCTGTCGATAGAGGAAATGTTGTCATACTTTCGGGATCCAAACATTGGCTGTCTTCCATCTGATGTATTCAAGTGGAGAATTATGATAAAATGGATCAAATATAATCCGGGGAGGGAAAGTTACTTTCCAACCTTGGTGAAATATATCAAGTTTGACCAAATTCCAAATCAGATCATAAAAAACGAGATTCTGATTGATCCGCTGACAAAGCAGTTCAAAAAGTGCAAACGTCAAATTGTGGATGTGGTATTTACGAAAGATGATACGGTGGATAACTCTAACAGCATAGCTTGCTACCAGGGAGGCGATATTAATATTACAATCTGTCCCTTATCCTCACAGGAGAAATCTCATTGCGTCCCCCTACCGACATCACGCGACGTTAATGCCGAAATTTTCTCTCTTTCCAATAAATTATGTTTCATATCTAATAAACGATTATTTTATATGAACAAAGCTGGCAAGTGGCTGGAAAGGCAAACAATGAAAAACACTTGTGCTGGAAAAATTGCCGTTTCGGGAGATTCTGTCTTTGTAATCGGGAAAGATAGAATGTCTTGCTATAACGCCTTAAAAGATGATTGGGAAGAGGATTTACCTGGGTGTGGATTTGAAGTCGGTTGCGCAACTGCATCATGTGGATTTCTATATGCGTTCAGAGAAATCGATGTATTTGCCTATGCATATAAGAACAAAAAAGCATGTGGTGACAAGAGTCCGAAGATATTCCATATTGACTCGAAAAAATGGATAGACGCCAAAACTGAGCAAAACGCATCATCCGCAACTATGTTGAACGACAATGTGTATACAATAACACAAATGGGGAATGTTAAAAAATTTCAATCATCAACCGGTAATTGGGAAAATTCCGGAAAACTGTCACATATTTCGATTCTTGTTCCTTGCAATGGATCGTTGCTGGCTATTATACGCCACGATTACCGAGTAATCAGTTATGACGAGAATTTTCGTGAATGGGTCGATACGAAAAGAGCATTGAATTCTGGGCTATCTCAGGCAACCTGTTTTCACCATTAGATTACATGATTACAGGCACATCAATCAAGGAATCTCAGAGTTTTCATTCAGATATGTATGATGATCTCTCTGCAAAACAAAAATCAATGGATGTTAAATTAACAACATGCAGTAAAAGAATACGCGAACTTGAAGAATTAGTATATGATCTCGAAGAAGATCTTTATTTTGTCACCGAAAAACTCGAGGAACAAGAAAGGCGATCCAGACTCGACAACCTTGAGTTTCACGGTCTTCCTCCTACAGTGAATGAAGACACAGACAAAATAATAATGGAGATTGGCAAATCCATCCATGTCGATATCAAACCCTCAGACATCTCTGTCACTCACCGTAGTCCAACTCACAATACTAATATTCACAAACCTATTATAGTCAAGTTTACTAACAGAAAAATACGGAGCAAAATTCTGAAAAATCGGCACCTTATCAGAACTGCTGCCAATGGACCATTAACAAAAAACTTATCAAAAGCTTTTATTGTGGAAAACCTAACTGAAAAAAACAAAAATCTTTTCTATCAAGCTAAAATCCTCAAAAAGCAATGCGGATACGCTTTTCTTTGGACTTCTAATGGAAGAGTGCTAGTGAAAAAAAACAAGGACACCAGTCCCCTATCAATATCTGACGAAGAAGACTTAAAAAAAATCAGATAAGTGCCTTCATTGTCTCAACCATTTGTCTATTTATGGCTAATTCAAGCCATTTTTCACTTGTCTCAGACCTCACTCAAAGTCTAATATCCGTAACTGCTTGTCATTTTATATGTGGAGTAACTGCTTGTGGCCCTTCTACATTGAAGTTTTATTTACTGACCCATAATCGATTGCTTATATGCACTTTTATTATCCCAAGTCCAATTATCAATGTTGCCTGTAAATAATTTAACCTCCTACCCCCCAAATATAAACTGGGAATCTGCCAATCTTAACAGTCATTTTAGCTTAACACAGTGTCAATATCTCCAAATAAGTGAGATAAATGAGACTTCATCTAAGTTCCTACCATCAGAGTTAATTTTAATGCATCTTAATATCAGATCTCTGTCAAATATGTTGATAGCCCTATTGAATTGGCATCTTATTTTTATGTCCTTCCGCATATAATCGCTCTCAGTGAAACCAGATTAAAAGATGGGTCTTCGGTTACCAATATAGACATCCCTGGTTACGCATTTTTTCATGTCCCCACTCCAACCATGGCAGGTGGCGTTGGATTTTATATAAGAAACAATTTAGAATATCAAGTGATCCAAGAATTTGATCTAACTTTGCCAAATTGTGAGGATTTGTGGATTGAGACAAGGCTAAATTCCAACAACCAGAGCCATGTAATCGGTGTGATTTACAAACATCCCAAATGTAGTACTCCATCATTCACTAAAGCAATGGCTGGTGTATTTGAGAAGCTGGCAGTGGCGAAAAAGAAATTTGTACTGTTAGGTGACTTCAATATCAACTTACTTGACACCTGCGACAATTCCACTACCAACTATTTCAACATGCTAATATCCCACTTTGTAATGCCAGTAATAACAAAACCAACTAGAGTCACTCCATCCTCCCACACCCTCATAGATCATATTTACACAAATACCATAAATCTTCTCTCCTCTACCTTTATTTTGCTTAGCGATATAACTGACCACTTTCCAGTAATGTGTACTATTTCGGGCATGAATGTTGGCCCCAAAACAAAAATCAGAATGAGGCGCGATATGAAAAACTTTTGTAGCGACTCTTTCAGATCGGAAATTGAGTCGATGTGTGATAATTATATGGGTGTTTCTCTAACTAAAGAAAATTTCAATCTCTCTCTTGACTCCTTCATTGGCCATTTAAAATGGTTAATAAATAAACACGCCCCTTACGTCCTTTATCACGTAAAGAAAATAAATTATTTTCCAAGCCGTGGATCACTAGAGGAATTCGTAGGTCAATTCGGCACAAGAACAATATGTTCAAAAAAATGTACTTGCAGGGCAATTTAAACCAGCGCTCCCATTTTAAAAAGTATAAAAATATCCTTACTCACTTGCAGAGAAAATCAAAACAATTATATTACCAAAACGTCCTTGAGAATAACCGAGGAGATGTTAAACGCACATGGAAAACTATTAACGACATTATTAAGATCAAGTCCAGAGATGATATTTCCATCTTAGAATTAAAACTTGAAAATGGTACCTCAGTGTCAGATCCTGTCTTGGTGGCCAATGAATTCAATAAATTCTTCTCAACAGTTGGTGAGAGACTTGCAAGAAAAATCTCTCAGAGCTCTAATACAATCACAGATTTCTTGGGTGTTCCCCTAGGAAACTCTTTCTATCTTGAGTCGACGTCAACCACAGAGATTCTTCAAATAATCTCGAATCTGAAAAAGGGTAAAGCAGTTGGTCCTGATGGTATTCCATCTCACTTCTTAAAAATAGTCGCAGACATCATATCCCCAGCGCTAAGCCATTTTTTCAACTCTTCATTTAGATTAGGTATTTTTCCCTCCTCGCTTAAGATAGCTAGAGTGATCCCTATATTTAAAAATGGCAAAAGAAATGATCCATCTAATTACCGACCAATTTCCATTCTACCAGCAATCGGCATTATTCTAGAAAAATTATTGTATAAAAGAATGATTAATTTTTGTTCAAAATTTAACTTGATCGACAAGTGCCAATTTGGATTTCAGACCAAACACTCTACCAACCATGCTATTCTAGATTTAATTTCGTCCATTTATGACAAACTTGACAAGGGGGAATTTGTTTGTTGTACTTTTCTAGATTTAAAAAAAGCCTTTGATACTGTCGATCATCATATTCTTTCTCATAAACTGAGACATTATGGCTTTCGAGGTGTTTCAGGCAACTTATTAACTGATTACCTGTCTTGTCGGTACCAATATGTAGAGGTCAATTCTCATAAATCTCCAATGTTGCCCATCCAGTATGGAATTCCACAGGGTAGTGTATTAGGACCTCTTGGTTTCTTACTTTTTATAAACGATTTATCGAACAGCTCTAATTTCCTGACAAAATTGTTTGCCGATGATGCCTGCCTTCTCGATAGTGCGAAGGATTTGACCACACTCCAAGCCAAAGTGAACACTGGAATTAATAAAGTATATGAGTGGATGATATGCAATAAACTCACTGTAAATGTGGAAAAATCCAAAGTCATGTTATTCAGCCCTAAAAGTCGGACTAGAAATTCAAGTCTTTCAATTAAAATTAATGGTATTCCACTAGAAATCGTCCAGTCTTATAGATATCTTGGGCTTCATATTGACCATCAACTCAAATGGAACAGCCACATCACTGAAATGTACAAGAAACTCTCCAGATCAGTAGGGATTCTGGGAAAACTCAAGTATTATGTGCCGAGCCCAACTCTGCGGACTATTTACTTTGCTCTTTTTCAATCACATATCCAATACGCCTTAGCTGCATGGGGCTCCGCTACTCAAACTAGCTTGCGTAAATTAGAGATTTTACAAATAGGGCTGTTAAAATTCTCTCCGGAGCACCAGTTCGTTCAAACATAATCACCCTATATCATAAAGCCAGGGTGCTAAAATTGTCTGACATCTATAAATTAGAAATTTCTAAGATTATGCACCAGTTCCACAACAACCAATCGCCTGCAGCTTTCGCTGATTATTTCACTGTTCTCAGTAATGTGCATGAGCATAACACACGCTCTTCGACAAAATCGAATTTTTTTGTTCCCAGATTTTCGCTAAGCAAGTCCCAAAACTCCTTGAAGTATAAGGGTGTTGTAATTTGGAATAGTATTCCCCAAATCTTACGTGACTCTTCTTATGAAACTTTCAAAACAAAATATAAAAAATTCTTGCTGTCACCTTACCAGTCTGCTGTGATTGCATCCAAATGATGTGGCCTCGGCACTCTTTCCCGCTTGCTCCGCTAGGCCTATACCTGTAATAATAATACTTTTTTTTTTTTCAATTTTTCCATGTCCTTATCTTATTGCATTCTTGCCAGTGACTTGAATTATGTAAAGTGTGCCATGCTAATTGCATGACCTGTATTTGTTCGTAACCTGCACAATATAGTAAACTACTTTTCTTATGTTTGAGATGGTTCATGAAGCTTTGTACGAATTTAACCACATTGAAATTCTAAGCCCATCTGCTCAAGATCTTGGTTAATTAGCATAACATTGTGACTTGTTTTCTCTTGCAGTCAGTAAAGCCTAAATTGTTTATCTGATTGTCATTATACTCTTATATAACATTGTAAAAGTATTACCTGATAAATAATATTTTTTTATGTACTTTTAAACTTTGCTTCATTGGTTCACTCAACTATTAGACTACGGTACTTGACTCTTCTTAGTTTTGCTGTTTCATGTCTTGTAGGATATCTAGTTTCCCACTGTGAATGTTGATACTAGGTTACATTCGTTTTGAATGACTGTTATGGAATATCTTTCACATTTTGATATTTCATGTCTTCCCTGATTTTATATTTCCTGTAACGTTATGTGAAGCCCTGACTCCAGCTGCCAATCACTAGATCCCATTAACAGGTACCTCAATTCCTTTCTAGCATAAAGGTATGGTTTATTCGTTGCTGATCCTGTTGTCGCTCTCAGCAAACCATGGGTTCCACTGTAACCAATAACCATGCGCCATCAGAATTTGACATTTATTGCCCATTGTTAGCTAATGGGCATCACAATAGCATTGTTGTGATACAATCCACTAACGCCATCTCCATGGCTACCGAATCAGTGGTGTTCGGAGTTGTCTTTTCTTTTGTTGAAGCCTAAGTGACTATTATAGTCACTTTGGTTGAAGCGAGCGATTGCTGGTTACAGCAGATCGTCTCGAGATATTTTATGTATTTTTTTCCTCAATTTATTTAAACTTAGTTCGTTTTTTTGTTTTTTAAATTATAGTGTTAGACTTATTTTATAGGTGCCGCTGCTCGATAACCAGTATTGGTTTCTCGCGTCTCCTTCTCCCTGAAATATGGCCAATTTATAATTTAATTTATTTCAATTTGTATGTTTGTGCCTATTTTAAGTATGGTGAGAAATAAACTACTGATTACTGATTACTGAAAGCAGTCATAAGGCATGTGTGATATAAATGAAATTGTGATTTTCTTGCATTTAAGAAAAAAGAACTTAAAAAAAAAAGACTTAATAAACATTACGGTATTTATACCTATAAATTGTGGTGTTAACTGACAAGCACAGAAATAAGAGCAATTAGGCTCCAAGTTTTGAATCGTAGAATAGAATCGGAGTCTTTATTAACAGAACACGCACATGTTGGCACTGTTATAAATTCTGACTGTTTATCGTCAAGCGCGAGTGTCATTTAGTGACATAGTCCATCGACATCGTTGAGCTTAATTTTACGACACCATTATCTCTCTACACAGGTATTAAATGTTGTGATTTCATTAATTTTGATTTTGATTAACTACACAATTTCCTCATAGATTTATTGCCGTGACCGCCCAGACTATCTCGAAATAACGATAATATTTGCAATAAATTATGAAATAAGAAAATCAGAAACATCTTCAACGTGTTATAGTTGGTGACCGTACATTTGAACCCATGTGTATATCCGCGGGTTCAATCTATATGCGGGTGCTAAAACCCATGGGTTAGGGTTAGTATGGGTTCAAATATTCCTAAAACAAAATTTTTTTCCATAGGTGCAATAGTATGCAGGTGCAATTGTCGTGGGTTCAGATGTACGTGGTTCAAATGTACGTGGGTTCAAATGTACACGGGTTCAAATGTAATGGAACCGTTATAGGTATTTCTAGCCAGCGCTGATTGAAATCTTTTCATGTCGGCTGTAACTTATTTTCGCGACGCGCGTTTACGATAAAACACAAAACAAAATATATGTGAAATGTTTTCAATTGAAACGTGGACGGCGGTGATACGATGTGTGGGCGATATCCAATATACCTGAAAACACGAAAAACGATATTCGAAAGTTGCGTTATTAAATCCCTGCCTATGAACTTTTTAATTGAGCACCGAGATTACTAGCTTAAGTACACAATGCATCTGAATTAATTAATGCATCTGAATCCCAAACATCAATTTCTTATGATGTATTATATCCTTTTTTCAATCTGAAATATTGTGCACTATGAATAATGCTCAAACACTAGTGCTTTAACCCGTCTGCCCCGCACACTTGTACTCGTATTTACATAGTATCGGTATCGGCAATATCGACCGTTTTGTAATATCGGTGTATCGGTATCGGCGTTTTTAGTAGGTATCGGTAACAAAAGTGGTATCGGTACATCTCTAGTATAAATAAGGCTGTTCAAAACCGATATTTTTTTATTCGATTTCATTGATGTTCTAGAATAAAGTCGCCGAATCGCATAAAATGGCTAATAAAACGCCACAGCGCTTCATTGCAAATCCAGTTATCAGTTTATTCGTAAGTCGACCACTACATTATTCAAATTATTTGTGACTTGAATCATCGTGATGGCACAATTAAATTATAGTAAAAACTTGATTTTTAACAATAATACCCAATTCCACCTTCTAATACAACTTCAAGATGGATGGACTTGAAAATAGCCTTGACAGGGATTATAAGATGCAGTCAAATCAGAATTAGCCCCTAAAAATTGCCAAATTACCCCTTTGGGGGTAATTCCCCCCAGTTTGGGAACCACTAGCTTAGATAGATTAAACCTATGTGCTCATCACACTTTTCTAGAGCAGAAGTTAGCAATATTTTTGTTGGCGGGTCATATCACGAACTTCAGATATCTGGGCCTCACAAAAAGAAGAGAATGCGACTATCGTTAAGTCTTACAGTAATCAAGTTATGAGGGAAATGACGTAAGTTTAACGCAAAGGGCCAAGGACCCACTGAATGACTTTGCGGGCCGGATTGTTGCACAATCTTGATTAAAGTTTAAATCATGCCCAAAGGACATGTAATAAGTATCGTAGGTTTCGTTACCTTGTGTGGAGTTTGCATTTCTGAAAACATGATTTATATGATTGTAATAAATATATACTTGCGGTAAATATTACTTCGGATGAATATATATATTTATCGATAAATATTTTTTTTCAAGGTATGAATATCTGCAAAAAATAGCGTCCCCTCTTTCATCTTATCTAACGTTATGTTTAATCTTTGGAATCCCCTTGAATTTTGAAACCCCACTCTGCATACACTAATAAAAATGATTTACTCTAGGATTCCCTTCCCCAATTTTATGAATATATTTGTAAATTCTAGAATGTTGTAACCTAATATTTAGTTATCTGACATTGTGAATCTTAAATATAGTAGCTTGTAGATGGAGTTGACTTTGATGTCCGTCTGGTCGTATCACTACTCGACAAAAGCCTTTTGTAATCAGATGAGCGAATGAAAACAGATAATGATATTTTAACACCGCGTCTTCTGTGTTTATTTTATACTTTATATATCACAGGACAAAAGCGTTTATTATTGTTGCACACCGCGAGTCCGATTTGCGTCAGTTGAAACAGATTTGTGAAGGCTGGAAGCTTTTAGTAAGAAGGTTTGGTCTATTGAAAAGGAAAATCCGAATGTAAGACAGAGACAGAAATAGTTACGTTGAATTCATAGAATATTCAAAAAAATATAATAGACAGGACATTAGCTTGAATTGTGTATTGGGTCTTACAGACATAACATCACACAAATTTTACTTATCGTATGCGGAAAGGACACTGGCATCAAGAATCTGTTTAAAGGCATTTGGGGTTGCGATATTGCCAGTGATAATTTCATACAGGAGAATATAGATTGTACAGATGCTTTATGGTGTAAAGTTAGTAGCATGGTCAGGAGTGAAAATATAAAGACAAATTGTCGGGAAAACTATCATCATGTAGAGATTGATCGGCCTTTTGTTGCCCTACTCATATATATGGTACATCACAGAAGTTAGAATAATAGCAAAAAAGGATCCAGTTTTACTGGCAACGCAGTACTTCTGTTCATAGAGGCTTCTCACAAAAAAAAAATGATTCTGGCATCTCATCTCGTCCCTCATATAAAAATATGTTTAGTCTCCGTACCCTATCGTAATCATCCATTCGTATTTAATTAATAGGCTGACTTTACGTAGATTACTGATAACAGCCTCATTTTCTAGCGTTGGCAAATACTTGGTGGTTTTAACTCCCTGCTACTCCAGCGGTCTTTTTGCACTTGGCTGATCTTTTAGTTGACCTCATTCCCACTTGTTTCTTTACTTTTCAGCCATTTCCTTCCTTTATAAGTATGTTTTCGCCTTGGGCAAATATAAAAATAAATTGTCATTATGTGTCATGTGTGTTTAACTAGCTCTTATATACATATCCTCTGCATTTTGTTTGTTACTTATCGATCTTAAGATCGGTAAGTATATTGATAGGTATTTGTCTGTATGTCTGTTAGATGCACGCGATATCTCACGAAAGCGAGATTGAATCTGCTCCAGATTTTGCATGTGCATTCATCTTATCTCGGACCAGAAGCCTATTGATTTTGGGCGAATTATGTCGTATAATTAGCGAGTTATCAATCAATTATTGATATAGTGATCTAGATTTTTGTAAAGCGAGAAAATTTTGAAACCCGCCGAGTGTGTGTGTGCGATGCGCAGTGCGCAAGTTACAAGAGCGGATGAATCGAAACTGCAGTTTCTGTTTTGGGGGATCCCCTAACTATCGATCGATAAGTCTTCGGTTTCCAACCGATATTCTCGTTCGTTTGTTGTTTTGTTTCCTTCAGAGTGACCACAATAAAATTGATTGATTGATATAAATATATATATATTCGTATACAGTAGGGGTGTGCAACTCGTGTCCCACAAGGAAAAATCGCGAGGCCCTCATAGAAATTTCAATTTTGACTGTTGTGTGCCCCGCGAAACGAGTTTTAAATTTAGTTTTTTTTAATACATTTGAGTTATTCCAATTCCATTGCTTTGCAAAGCCTATACCTGGGTCCATAAGATCAACAACTAAAATGTTTATGCCTGCATCTACTAAGAAGCATATATGTTAAATAAAATTGCGGCCCGAGGTTTCATTTCATTATTTTTATATGGCCCTTTAGTAGTATAGGCACGCCCCTGGTATACAGTACCAAAGCGCGCGTTTATGTAAACCGGAGCTTTCCATGTCGAATATTTACTAAGATTATTCACCATGAAGTACATAACAAAAACAATTGGTATCTTATATCCCGGCCCCCCTTAAGTTGAAAATATCTTGTCTGTTGACGGGCTAGTATTCTCAAATATATGGGCGGATCTATGTATTGAACTTTTTTAACAGAAAACTCGTAAAAAATATATTCGTAAATATAATAGAAGTAACAGTATGAGTGAAGCGTCAACTTCTCAACAAATAGAGGTAGAATGTGAGAAGAAAAACTGTACTCGCTCGGACCCAAGGAAAGATGGAACCGCCTCCGACTTTACAATAAAAGTTGAAGACCAATCATTCCCCGTTCATCGCGATATAATCATCACAAACTCCGAATATTTCAAAGCAATGCTGGCTCATGATACCAAAGAAAATCAGCAAGGATTTGTTGATATGAAAGACGTAAACCCAGATGTTGTGCGTGAATGTATTGAGTTCATGTACAGTAGAAATGTGGATGAGGTTTCAGTTGACATCGAAAATGTTGGAGACGTGCTACAAGCAGCCAGAATCATGCAACTGGATGAAATAACTGAGCACAGCGTGAATTCTTTGAAGAAAATTCTCAATTCAGAAAACTGCATTAGAATTTATAACATCGTGACTCAATATAGCGTCAATGAGCTACAAGAAGACGTTCAAACACTCTTTGAAAAAACCTACAAAGTGGATAACTTGACTGATTTGCTTCAACTCTCGAAATCTGATTTCACTGACTACATTAAAAAGCAGCATCCTAATGCGAATATTACAGTGTGGGAATGCATTATTCACTGGATAAAGGTTGACGTCGGCAATCGACAGAACCACATTTCCGAGTTCTTGAACATATTAATCTGGGACGGGTTTCCTACAAATTTACTGCTTCAACGACTGTGGGATGAACCTATGTTCAGACATTCGCAGGAATGCAAAAATCTTTTGTGTGGAAAAGTTTTCATGGACGTCGAAAGCTTCAATATGAACATTTCCATCGACAACTATTTCTTGTTTAAGGAATTCACAGCAAACCTCACCTTTATTCCGAATCTGATTAAGAGAACAATAAATGAGTTCCGGAATAACAATATTATTAAACTTCTTGCGAAACCCGACTTTATGTGGATTCCCCAATCTGAACTTATTTCCTTACTCTCCGATTCGGCAATAGATGATATAACCGGAGAAAAATGGAAATGGTTGGCGATGAAAGCCTGGGTAGAACACGGAACGGATCGGAAAAGTCTTTTACCAAAATTTCTTCGATATATTAGCTTTGAGCAGATACCAAAAAAGTTTATTACAAATATTCGAGAAGATAGTTTGGTGCGAGATTTTGAATGTCATTTGAATGTCAACAGCTTCTTTTAGACGCTCTGCTGGGATGTAATTTTTCAAGTGAAAAGAAACGTCATCTTATAGCAGCCCTCTACACTGATGGAAGAATTCGAACTATGGATGTATCAACAAAAACTTGGAAAGATATTGCTAATGCTCCGATTCCCATCCTCAACGTAACCATTCCACTGTCAACTAAAATATTCTGTTTCAATGGTAAATTATGTCTTCTCAGTGACAATAAATTGTTATTCTACGGCAAAAATGGAAGGTGGATTAAAAAGAGCTCTATGACCAAAAGTCTTGATAGTTCGACGGATGTTGTAGCTGTAGATGACAGTATATATGTCATTGCAGAGAAAAATATCTTGTGCTATAATGCACTGCAAGATACATGGAATGAAAATTTACCAGAATTTGAAGATGATACTGAGGTTCAAGGCAAAAAACAGCAAGTCGTCGCTATACTTTTAGTGTGGAAAGGTGGACATTTATTGCAGAGGTTTTGGATGGATCAATCTATGCCGTTGGGAGCGCTTGGGACAGTTGTGGGGAGTTCATAGAACAAAAGATAAAAGCATTTAATATTAAATCTAAAGTTTGGTCCCGTGACCTTGATGTACCATATTCATTGCACCCCGATTCATACAGGGGCATACAAGCCCCTATTACTTCGTGTATCGTTCACGAAAATTGCATTTATTTCTTTGCCAACTCTTCTACTGTTAAAGGTTATGATCCGAAAAAGTCAGAATGGAGGAATATTAGAAGCCTGAAAGAAAACTCCGGAAACAAAAGCTGGCCGTTGAATATAAATGGCAATTTATTCATCGTTCAGAACACAGGAAAGGTCTGGGCTTATTTTAAAATTATGGGCGAATGGAGTGATTTCTGTGACATCCCAGAGTTGGTGTCGGGGATTAAAGGGCATCACACAACAGTTGATCTTGTTTCTGTTTGTGCATTTACTGAAGAAAGTCAGCAAGAGAGCTTTAATCCTTCCAAGAAACCCTGACTATTCTCAAAGAGGGATGAACTCGTACCTTAACATTATTTTCAGCTTCTGTGCGTTTTGATCCTTCATCGCGTTCGTGTGTGCTACCTTTATTACAGGCGGGTCAGATACGAATAACTGGGTGAAACCGCACCATTAGGCTTTCTAGTAGTCACAGGCGGAAAAATGTTGATTATTGGTCCTATGACATGTGTTTTTTGCGTTATTTAGATAAGGCATATAACGTTATAGTCATAGATAATAAATTGAAAGCTTTGCGATGCAAAGGAATTAGCATTACTAGCACGTACCAGATAAAACTAATTTAAAAACTCGTTTCGCGGGTCGCACATCATTCAAAATGGGCTCTTCTCCGCGGGCCGCACAATGTTTCCTTGTGGGCCTCATTTGGCCCGCGGGTCACAGGTTGCACATCCCTGCGCTACTGTATATAATACCTCAGCTGTTACGGCATCTAAAACGGCTTAAGAGAAAAAGTAGTAGCAGTATTATAGTATTGTGGCAAAATCTTATTTTCATGTTAACTTAGAATACAATTCACGTAGTTCCAATTTAGTTTTGTATTTTTTTAAATACAAAATAGTATTGAGTTAATTTACCCGGAAAAATGAATTTTAAGGAAACTGTGTGTTAATATTATAAGTGAATTTTGTTTTAATATTTTACGCGGGAACAATTCTTACCGGAATTCAACTATGTACATTGAAATAAAACTGTACTATTGAGCTATCTTGACCCTGCTCCAAAGTAATCAATTTTATGGATATCATATTATATTGCTCTTTTTAAATAAATATATATTTCCTTTGGATAATCAATTCATAAATTAAATGACATATTTAGCAATAATAATATTATTAGTAATAGCATGCATCTATTAATAAATACTGAATATACTATTGCTCGCTTATTAGCTTTTGAATGCTAAGATATCTCAAAGACGCCACCTGCCCTATATCAATGGGAAAATTTGTAAAAAAAACGCGGCTATTTTGAAGTCAGGGAACTTGGTTACCAACTAAACATCAAAGATACATAGAAATAATGTCAGTAGCATTACTTGATAGCATATCAGATAATGGTTTCAAAATCCCAACAAGAAGATAATTGAAATATGGCATTATCTATTGGAAATTATAGTTATAGATAATGTCATACTCGAATTAACATTACCGTTGTCAAATTTTATTAATTAATGCCGTTATTTGCTTTTTTGGACAGCTCACGAAGCTCCCGGAATTTTGTTATGGAGCCCTGGGTCTTCGAATGGAGCACTTTTATAACCTATATGACATAAACCATGATGTAGAATATGGATTTTCCGGGACTAATTATTGCAACCAAAGTAAAGAAAGCTCACCAGAAGACATAGTGAGACTTGAGTTAATTGATTTACGACTATTTCTTGGAAACAAAGCTGAAAACACGCAAACCTACGACAACGAGGTATTGTTTACACCTGTCCTATTTTGAATGACTGCATTATTTAAAAGTATATTAACTGTAATTCATTAAAAATAAAGTTAAGATATTATTATTGAAGAACAGGTGGCCACGAAATGTTGAGAGTGTTTAAAAAGAAACACGGAACATAGAAGTTTGAGAACCCCTGGGTAAATATATATTCATGCCTTTGCCCGGAATGGATAGGATAACTGCGAAATAGTCCCTTCGTCCACTTATCAGCGGATACCTTACATTAGCTGCATAGAATAAACTGAAAATATAATAAATATAAATATGAAATAAAAAAAATATAAATATCTTCTTTTAGAGAGATAAAACTGGAAAGTAAATTTCATGGAATGGTTTCCGTTCACATTAACAATTTCCTTCTTTTAGTAGTAATTTCCGAGTCTAGCGTAGTTTAGTACCACAAGTACTTCTAGTGGGTTTGGCATACCCATATGATGTTCGTAATCAACACCTGACTAGGTAATCAAAAAATTACGTCGCCGCGACATCACAATCACGTCTTGCCAAAGTATAGCTACGATCGCCAAGCGACTTCCCTCACAAGGGGATCGTTACGACGAGAAAATGCAAGAAATATCTTGATCGACTTCGGCTGACCGCTTGCCCGTTTAGGAAGACGATCCGTAATTTTGACGGACCTTATTACGTCACTGTGACGTAACTTTTGGATGACGTAGTCAGGTGTTGGTTAGGAATAACATATGGTTATGCCAAGACCATGGTGGTGATAACAGCCAGCAGATTTCTCCGCATCGACTCAAAAAAAAAATGAATGAACGTCAAAACAAAACGAAATGCATCATCCGCAACTACGTTGAGCGACAATGTGTATACAATTACAGGAATGGGTATTTTGAGTTTCAGCCATCAACCGGTGAATGGAAGAATTCGGGAGATCTGCAAGATAATTCGATTCTTGTTCCTTGCAATGGATCGTTGCTGGCTATTTCATACCAAAAAGGCAAAATATTTAGCTATGACGAGAATTTTTGTGAATGGGTCGTTGGGCATGCTTGATCAAAGCTTATGCCATGGTATAAACCAGTGGTTCCCAACCTCTTTTACTCTGGCGGACCGGTAAAATTAAATTAAATGTACTCGCGAACCGGCAAAACATTGAAATGACCGGGACAGAAAGGTCAGCTCTGCCGCGGCATGCAGCTCATTTCTTTGCTCAGTTTAAAGCTAGTGATGAAAATGTTTTTTCGCATAACGAAGTAACAGTTTGAAAATACGGACAATAGTTTGATTGCTCGATTACTTAGCGATGGGTATTCGTTATCAATAGATATCCAAAATTGTGACAGTGATTCTTTTTTCTGGACTGTTAAGTAGAATCACAATTCTAACCAAGCTTCTTCTTTTTCATCGTGTTTATGATATAAACCCCCTGCAGTTGACCGACGCCCCAAACGAAATGAGTTTACATTACAATGACAAATTCGTCGGTAACTTGGCACCAGGCTCAAAATCCGGCGCTCCCGAAGTATGTGCACCAAGACGCACAACCTGAACCCTAACCTGGTACATATACTATCTTCAGGTTGTGCGCCATCTTGATGCACCCGCTTCTGAAGGTCCAAAAATTCTACTGTGTTCGCTCAAAATACTGGAAAAGATCTCTGCGACCCATGCTTGGTTTTAAACAAAGAATTATGCATACAATTTTATATGGTTGATCATATTAGTCAGGAAAACCACGCAGAACAGAAAAAGCAAGCGTGCCGATTTTTATCTTGCGAGATTTGATGGAGCGCATTGCGATGAAACGGAGCCGAAAAAGCGAAAAGTGTGATTACTCGGCGCCAATATGTCGCGAAATACGTCGCAATATGACGGCGGAAGAGAAATTGCGTAATAAACCAACGCAACCTCGTTTTCGGTAAAACGATTGAGACGGCATAAAAACAACGATTTTTCTCGCGGACCGGTAAAAAAGCTTCGCGAACCGGCGGTTGGGAACCACTGGTATAAACAGCCCTCTGAGTGGGGCTTTGTATATTGCCTGCTCGACCAACTGGAATCGCTGAGAAAAGCCTCGTTGTAGTAAGGCAGTCGTTCTGTGTCATAGGAATTTCTGGGTATTATAAAAATAGATTCATTCTCTATTGAGATTCAAAAGTTGTAAAAACCCAATCGGGCGACAGGAATTTCTGGGAATGCTGAAAGAAATAATGTGAAAAAAAAAACAATTGTATCTTTTCACACGGGCGGTTTCGCGAGCGATGGCATGACGCTTATTAGACAAACGCAGAAAGTAGTCAATACAATAACGTGTACATGCTTGTGTCAACTTACCGACCTGTTTTAACAGTATTTACAAAGTACAATAACCGGTAAATGGTTGTGTTAACTTACCGACCCTTTTTAACAGTATTCACAAAATACAATAACAGGTAAATACTTGTGTCAACTTACTGATCCTTTTCAACAGTATTTACAAAATGCAATAACAGTTAAATGCTTTTATCAACTTAACCGACTCTTTTCAACAGTATTCACGAAATGCAATAACGGGTGAATGTGTGTGGTATTTTACCTACTCTTTTTAACAGTATTCGAAAATACAATAACGGTCAAATGCCATTTGTTTTTATAACAGCATGCCTGATTACAATTATAGAGAGATGCTTGTCAAAAACGTATAATATAAGAGTATTAGGGATGGTTACATTGGTTTACCGTCGTTAAGTGGTCAACGGGTTTAAATAAGACTGTTTAAAAGCGATATTTTTTATTTGATTCCATTGATTTTCTAGAATAAAACTGAATACCCCATTTGCGTGAAATGGCTACTGACACGCCACAGGGCTTTAGATTGTGACGTCTTTTTCCGCACAAAATAAACCGAAAGAAATATCATCGCAAAACAAGTTATCAGTTAGATCAGTGATTTCCAACCTGTGGGCCGCGACCCCACTAGGGAAGATTTTCCGAGGTCGCCTAATTTCTGTCAAATATGAGCACACAATTTTGAAAGTGACTGGAATTTGAAAGTTGGAAAGTGAAATTCGTGCTGGTCGGCATGCACTGGAAAAGTGCCTGCCTAACTTCAAACAAATTGGCCTAATTTTTAGCAATAATTGGATCATTGCCGACATAATTGGACGGTGCCGAAATTGCTCGGTAAATCATCCATGTGATACTTGACCTTTCCAGCTGGTCGACAGGTACCGGTATTAGTAAATGAAATTGAGTGACAGTGTTACAAGCGCCAGTAATTATTAGGGATGGGCCGGGATTCGGATCCAGGCATTTTTTGGACTTGGATTCGATTTCGAGTCCTCGTCATTTTTACCGAGGATATAATCAATTCTGTTTTTACTAATTTACGCCTATATTTGTGCTTTTGCCTCTATAAGTCTCACTACATACCCTAACTAGTTAAAATTCAAGGTTAGATCTGTAACAATATCCCTCGTATGTATTATAAACACGACAGATATCCAGATAATATAACGCAAGTTAAAAACTATTGATAGATTATAACAATGATGCGCTGGTCACCTTCAAACTATCTATGC